ACCATACGTAAGAACCCCTAGTGTGACATGGTGTGACCACACTGTGTGGGGAATCACACAGAGTTGAGAATGCATAGCTTGATATGGAGGTTGTCTCGCGCCCAAGCTGGGACAAGCAGCCAACACAGGTTGAAAGGACGTTTGGATAGCCTATAAGGCTGTTCGCCGTATAGTCTATTTTCTGCTTCGGCCTTGTCCTATCATGCTTCCACCCCGCGCCTCCCCGGGGCGAAAAATTGATGCCACGAAAGGATGTGGGGCCGAAGCTTTCATTAAGATTGCACGCAGGCGCCTATACGCCTGTCCGGTTGACATATCTGGCACCATTGATGGTTTTTGCCCACCTCATGGATGAAGCCGCTTTGCGAAAAGAGAGTTGAAGAAGCATTGCCTATGAGAATGTTGCTCCTTGTTGCCGCTTTTGCTTAAAGCCTTTCCTTTGGCCTACCCACCATGTTAGCCCAGCCAGAGATGACGTATCCAGCGAAAGCTGCGCTTTGGCATTTTGGTGTGGTCTGTGGAAGTGCTTCTTGATGCGTGATGCGATGTGAGTCAGATTTTGTGGCAGGCAAGCGCAGCACTTTTTGAACCTTGAAGTGCAGGTTTCATGGCGGGCCGAGCACCTTCTGTCGAAGTCCAAAATATTCCACCTCGAAGCGCAGATTTGCGTGGCAGACGCAGCCCTTTGATTGCTCTCATTTTACAAGCTGTCAGTGCGCTCTTATGCGCGTTCTCTCCACAACTACCACCACACTACCACTCTACCACTAGCAAGCCGGCGGCGGAAGTCTCCTATAACAATTTGGCCTATAGGAGTGTCCCTTCGCACATGCCAGCCCACAACGGCGTACTCGCTCTGGCACTGTGCACGCAGTGGCACTGGCACGAGTTCCTCTCGCTTCTTCTTTTGCTTTTCATCGGTGGCTCACAGCGACGCACTGAAGTCCAAGAGCACAGCCGATGCGTCACGACTCACCACTCACCGCATCCTTTTTTCCACACAGCGCAAAGATTCCTGCGCGGTAGCAGCTGTCTAATAGCAACATAGGAGTGTGCGCGGTCCACAGCGACGCACGCAGACCGATGCCTTTCGGCAAGACCAAGGAACGGTTCACCCAGCACCTCTGGCAGGGCCTGGACAAGGTGGAACAACTGCCACCGGGGGCTGCAGTACACCGATATATCGTCATAGCAATGGCATGATCCGAGAATGACGCGAGGACGTTCCGCAACGGTCGTTCCCCAGAGCTTGACTTGCCAGGTTCGGAGCCACCTCTGTATTGAAAAACACAGC